GAGGCCTCCTGGCACCGGATCAGCGTGACAGGGGGTAGCGCCCAAACCCCCTGATCGCCCTGCAGCTCTGTGTGTGACAGGGGGCGGGGCCACAACCTCCCTATCCGCCCTGCTCTGTTCGTGACAGGGGAAGGCACCCCAACCCCCTGATCTGCCCTGCTCTGTGCCTGATAGGGGGGAGCTCCCCAATCCCCTGATCGCCCTGCGGCTCTGTGTGTTACAGGGGGCGGGGCCACAACCTCCCTATCTGCCCTGCTCTGTGCCTGATAGGGGGGAGCTCCCCAATCCCCTGATTGCCCTGCGGCTCTGTGTTTGACAGGGTGCAGCACACCAACCCCCTGATCGGCCCTGCTCTGTGTGTGACATGGTAGAGCCATAACCTCTCCATCGGCCCTGCCCTGAGTGTGACAGTGGTGGCGCCCCAACCCCCTGATCGGCCCTGCTCTGTGGGTGATAGAGGGTGGTGCCCCAACCCCCCTCCACGGGCCTTGCTCTGTGTGTGACAGGGTAGAGCCATAACCTCCCCATTGGCCCTGCCCTGAGTGTGACAGGGTGCAGCGCCCCAACCCCCTGATCTGCCCTGCTCTGTGTGTGACAGGGGGTGGTGCCCCTACTCCCTTATCGGCCCTACTCTGTGAGTGACAGGGGGGAGCTCCTCAACCCCCTGATCGGCCCTGCTCTGTGGGTGATAGAGGGTGGTGCCCCAACCCCCCTCCACGGGCCTTGCTCTGTGTGTGACAGGGTAGAGCCATAACCTCCCCATTGGCCCTGCCCTGAGTGTGACAGGGTGCAGCGCCCCAACCCCCTGATCCGCCCTGCTCTGTGTGTGACAGGGGGCGGTGCCCCAACTCCCCTATCGGCCCAGCTCTGTGAGTGACAGGGGGGAGCTCCTCAACCCCCTGATCGGCCCTGCTCTGTGTGTGACAGGGTACGGAGCCCCAACCCCCCTGATGGGCCCTGCTCTGTGCGTGATAGGGGGCAGAGCCTCAACCCCCTGATCGGCCCTGCTTTTTGCTTGACAGGGGGTGGAGCTGCAACCTCCCTATCGACCCTGCCTTGAGTGTGACAGGGGGCAGTGCCCCACCCCCCCAATTGGCCCTACCCTGAGCATGACTAGGGGTGGCATCGCAACCTCCCGATCCGCCCTGCTCTGTGCATGATAGGGGGCGCCCCAACTCCTCCCCAATCAGCCCTGCTCTGAGCCCGACCAGGGGCTGCACCTAGGGATTGGGCCTGCCCTCTGCCACCCGGGAGCAGGCCTAACCCAGCAGGTCATTATCTCCCGAGCGGTCCCAGACTGCGAGAGGGCACAGGCCGGCCTGAGAGACCCCCCTCTCCCCTCCCCCAAGTGCACAAATTTTTGTGCACCGGGCCTCTAGTATATATATAAACAAGTTGCATTTTTATAAAACATACATTATTCTTTAACCTGAAAAGTTATAGAATTATTCTCTCAAAAAATAAATCAGTTTGATTCTTTACTATAAGATTTGTCCAATTGTTATTTTCACTGTATTTGAGGTACTAGTATATTTTTATAAGAAAAAAAATGTCATGCCAGGAACTGAATTGGCTGTGTACTAACATGAACTAAATGAGAAACAATTTGTTGATAAAGTTACATAAGTTTTATGATTCTGACATAACATTTGTTTACTAGGCAAAAATTCATTTTTAAATACAAATGAGGAATGAATCTTCAAACTCTGTTCAGGGATCATTAACTTTCTGTGGCAGCAACTGGAGAATGAATCTTCTTAGCAATCATTTCTTATGTTGTTCCTAAAATATCTGCTTTCAAACTGTTTATTGCCATATAAAATATTAAATATTTCTCTCATCTACTTATTTGAATTATGCTAAGCTGTCATAAAGAAAGGAAATCAAAGGGGACATTTTTATGTTCTAAAATGTGTTAATTTATATCAGAATCATCATTATAGCTTGAGAGCACTTTAAAAATCTACAAAGAATTTTTGTAGTTTCATGTATGCAGTATGTAGAATCAGCTTGCTAGGTTTCATTTAAACAGATTTAGCTTAAGACTATACCACTCACTAGCCATCTACAGATCCCAACTCCAAAAGGTGTTAGTTCCTGACTCATTCACACTCTCTATATTCTATCCCTATAACAAAACTTGGTGATTTCAGTAACCGTGTATATGATGTTTGAATATCTCTCAATACCTTGAAATTTTCTCCTTTAGTGATTTTGGTCTCTAAAACACCTTGGAATCTTCTTGTCATAGTCACATTCTAAACTTTGCTATTAACAAAACTTGCACCTCTTCCACAATCTCAACTTCAAGATCCTCCTCTCCAGCTGTTGCCACCTATATTTCATCTTCAATGAGTCTTTGATCCTAATGCTTAATGGCTATAAATCACTACAAGATTCCCATTTACCCATGCAACAAATAACTACTGTGTCATGCTGTGGGCTAGGTGCTGAGTATACAGCATTGAGCAGTACACTATTATGGAAGAGATACACTAAACAAAATAAAAACATTAAAAAACAACTTTAGTGTTGGAATGGAGAGAGAGAGTACAATTTATGAGGATAACTGGGAGGCTAGAGTAGTTGTGTAAGTAAGATGATGATGTCTTGAACTAAGGTGGTAACAAGTGAGATAGAAAGAAGTGGTCAGATGTGCAATATAGGGAGGTAGAATGGATAGTATGTACAATGATAGATTGTGAGGGATTTGAAGATAAGGAAGGAGTGAGTGAACTATTGTATCATATACTATACTGGGAGCACTTCGGGAGGAAATGGAAGTAATAAAGATGAGCATGGTTTTAGAAATATTGGAGTGATATTTCTATGAGATATGTGGAGGCATGATGTAGGCATATAAATATAGGAGGAACCTATACAGGAGATAAAAATTGGGTAATAATAGATGCTATTTGAAGCAAGAAATTGGGTAAAATTGTCTCTAAGTAGACTGGGGTTACAGCCTGAGCAGAAAATATAAAGGGCCAACTCCTAGTTCCCACAAAATTTTAAAGTAAAAAAAAAAAAAGAAGGAATAACAGGCAAAGGAGAGTAAGAAGAAACCAGGAACATTCAAGGTCATGGTAGCCAAGAAAGAGAATGGTGATTCAAAAACTGTTTGAGAGGGAGATAGTAGTGGTGATGTTGGATGTTTCTGAGAGGTCAGTCATCTTACAGGTTGGGAAATGTTCACAGATTTTGGCAACATACAGGTCATTGCTCAGCTCAACCAGAGCAATTTTTATAGAATCGGTTTGTAAGAAACTACACTGGGGTAGTTTGAAGTGGAAATGAGAAATGAGAAAGTGCAGGGAACATGAGTAGAAAGAAAGATATCCTATATCTTATGGTTGAAATGTACTTAAATAAATACCCATTAATGGTCATTTAAATTGTTTTTAATGTTTACTCTCAGTAGAAGAAAAAAAATTATACATATACTCTTTGCCCTTTCCTCCAATTATTTCCTTAAGATACATGTCCAAAAATGATTATCATCATAATAGTCATGTTATTTTTGGCTGAAGAATATGAACTTGTTTTTTAAGAGTATGGATTTAGTATAATGAAAAACATCCCATGGTTTGATTGGTCCTATTTAGTTCTCTTATGTGTTTGGAGTTACATTTTGTTTTCCAGGTTCCACTACTCCTAGGTGAATTAACAAGTGCCCCTACGTGAGAGAATGAGATCAACAATAAGTTCTAGACTTCCTAAGAAATTAAGTGAGCACAAGTTTCTCTAGCGAGGTCTACAAGGGTTTGGCTTTGACCAAATTATCCAGCATATCTATATTTGGTAGCAGTTTTTATCTTATTTTTATAAACAAAACAATAGTAGAAAATAAATACATCTAAATCATTACATGAAATTTTTGGCTAATGTTTTATATTGAGAAAATTAACTTATTACGTCACTACAATTCCTCATAGACTCTGGATAGAAAAACATTTGAATAAACATCTGATGTTGTGTTCTGTATTTCAAAATATTATTTTCTTCCAGTTTTGCATTTACATACTTTCCCATATCGATATACTTACAGACCCAACGATCTAACATGAGCTAACATTATAATATAAATTTTTATAAAGATTAAAATATTACTTTTAATATTTATGTTTTATGTATTTTAGAGTATCTACTTTATTGGCAGAACATGGCTCCCTGGGATCTGGGGCCTACAGATCAGTAGGTGAATGGCTAGAAGCAATCAAAATGGGCCGGTACACAGAGATTTTCATGGAAAATGGATACAGTTCAATGGACGCTGTGGCTCAGGTGACCTTGGAGTGAGTAATTTTTCTGATAATTTTTACATAATTGCTGGGGCGAGAGAATTTGTTCAGAAACCTATCTGGATGAGGTCAAAGCAAACCAATTAACTTTTGTCCATGTGTGGCAGCTTTCAAAGAAGCCTCTTCGTTTTGCCTGTATTGTTAACAATTGCATGGTTAATGCTACTTGTGTCCAGTTTCTTTGCTTCAAACAAATAGCATTGGGATATTTGAATAATTGGGAAAACAGCTTTTTGGCAAAATAATGGTAATTCATGTTGTGGAAAAGATGTTTTCTTGACAAAGTTTTTATACTGGTCTCTGTGTTATATAAATGTAAATACAAAACAAATGTAAGCACAATTGGTATGACTAGTCCTACATAAGAAAAAAACATCCTTAAATTTCAGCTATGATGAACAACCAGGAAACAGCAGCTTAAACACAGCTTCTCAGGCAGGAATCTCATTTAATCTCTAAGTGGTGCACCTTATATTCTTGCCATCCAAGAATATATTAGATCCTGCCTCTGATTTGTTATTTGGTGCAATCTCAGTGGAACCAATTGTGCCCTCTTATGTTTGCACGATTAAGGTGAAATTTCTCAAATCTTATTGAATAAAAATCACTAGAGTTAAATACTAAATCCTTTAAGGTTGTAAGTGGTTTGTATTTTATTATATATTCTGTATGTGTAATTATTTCAGCCTAATATTTGTTATTTGTGAAAATTATTTGTCATTATGGTGGTTTCATCTAGATTACATAAACATGAATAATGTTTTAACCTGCAAATATAATGATAAATTACTTCAAGTACCTACCAATTCAAAGGTTCAAATATCGTTATAAGGATTAGAACATGGTAGAACATTCTAAAGCAGTAAGCCACAGTCCATATCCCATCACTTCACATAACATGAGCACTGAGCAGTTCTTGTTCACCATTTGTATTATTCTGGCATTTTGATTCATTGAATCCACTGCACAGCCACAAAAAAGGTAACAGGGTACTGTCATTTATCACCAGTTAAGATCACACATTCTCCACATTTCTCTTCCATTATACCTATAACTGAAAGGACCTAAAATCACCACTCAGCTTGCTCTCATAATTTACTGAATCTCATTCTCACTATCACCATCAAATCATATCTATTTGAAGACACATTTTCTTGGCCCATTATTTTTTTGGACAGTCAAAGAGCTCATTTGTGCTATATTTAAAATAGTGAACAGAAAAGTTTACTGATAATTTAAAACTATTTTTACATGATTGCTATTTAATTTTTCAGTAAAAATGGTCATTTTAATTTATTAAAGTCATTTGTCATTTTATATTAAAATGATACTGTAGGTATTTCTTCTACCCAATGTCAGATTACTTGTAAATATATAATAAAAGTATTTGCATTAAACAATGTCTCCTTTTTATTTAAATAGCACATATGTACATATATATCATTCTACTGTCCTTTAGCTTTTCCCTTCACAGAATAGTTACAATCACAAATAATCGTTTTTGCACTACCAACCTATTTTACTTTGTCTCATTGGGACCCCAAAATACTATAATTATGTTTAATATTTTAGCATTATGATTTCATATTGTCTTATTTCTTTTAATTCTTTCTTCTTTACTTTCCTATCCCCAAACTCTCTTCATTTGTATGTTTCTTTCAAGCCCAAATACCTTCTTCTATCTTCTAATGGTTCACCATTTCATTTGTATTCTCCAGTAATTTTTGTCTGGTCAATTTGTTCTGTATCTCTGTTACTTTGGTAGCTTCTTGCCTCTTGCTATAGTGCCTCCATCAGATATTTTTGTCTTTTAATTAATTTACTCTGACCAGAAGAGTAAGGTGAAATTAGGAGTCATACGGACATCTTTCTGTTCAGGGAATGTTGCCCTCCATATGTCAATTGCTTCACATTCTGGGAGCCCAAATAAACACATCCGGAACACATTCCTTAGTAAGACCTGGGCCAGCAGAGGTTAACTAACTCCAGTGAAGCTCATTTCTTAGAGAGTCCAGCACCTCTAACTATATGTCCTATTTATTGTGTTTTGACCACATTTTTCCTAGTTGGTAAGAATATATTTGTCGAATAATATGGTAACTAACTCACAAAATAGCGAGTAATCAGTTACTTCTTTAGTCAGAAATATAAAGTAAAATAAAAATATGTATCTGTGAATTTTGATTGCCCTTTGTATGTATGTGTATGTATATGTATGTGTGTGTGTGTGTGTATATATATATATAT